CAGGAGCATTATTATTATTATTATTATTATTATTATTTAGTTTAAGTACTCAGAAACAGTCCAACCTTCCCATTCTACAGATAAGAAAAATGAGGCCCAAAGAGAGGAATTAGTAAGTCATGGCCTAATTTATCAGCAGAGCTAAGATAAGTATAATATCTTCTCTCTCTGGGTCCAATAAGATTTCTATTTTAATCTACTACTTCTCTCCTCTCAAGAAGTTCAGAAACATGTCAGGATTTCTAATTCATTTTTGAAATAAAAGTACATAGAAAAATAAATAAAATCTTAAAATGGTATAAAATTTAAAATTTCAAAGCTAATTGAGATACCAGCTTTTCAAATGGCATAGAGACAAGCTAGTTGCAATCCAGCCCCTGCCAGCCCAACACCAGATCTTACAGCACAGGGTGACAGCCATTCCGCAGGCTCAGAGTAAACAATTCAGCAATACTTTTCCATGGAAGGGACCTAGTCTGGCAGTCAGGGTTCAAGGTCTTCACCTCAGTTTCATCACCAACTTGTCAGCCATTTAAAGCCACCCAAACACATTTTAATCTGGGTTTTAAAAACAAAACAAACAAATTTTAAAAAGGGGAATGAGCCATGAGGGAAAAGGCCATTTTCCTCTCTGAACAAAAAAGAGAGTACCTGGGAGTAATAGATGGAAAAGAGGAAAAATTAAAATAGCAGCAGTGGCTAATAAAGTTGCATGTGTAAATGGCTCTTTGGTATTCTTGTAGAAATCTAGTACCTACCGGCGACTGGTGGCTGCCTACATCCCCCAGCATATAAGAGGCAGCAGTGGTCATGACTGCAGCCCAGCGAGTCACTACACCCAGCCTGTGGTCTACTCTGTGCCCAAGGGACCTGGGGGACCCTTAGCCCTATAATTAACAGGGTCTAAAAACACCTAAGGAGTAAAAGGTGCCTTTTGGATCAGTAATTCTATCTCGCTGAATTTGTACAACCACTAGCCAAGGAAAGCAGAACAGAAACTGCTGCCTGCTTTGCAGTGAGGAAAGTTATGGTTATTTTTAAGGTCATAGAGATCATTGACAACAAGACAAGCCTCCAGCTCCCTCATGGCCTAGAAGTGTTCTTTGCATCACCCCTACTGTTTCAGAGGAGGAAGCTGTAATTGGCAAGGAGCTCTTGGCTTATCGACTTAATTTATCTGCAGGCTGGAGAACTTAGGAAACTTTTAGCAAACAAGAAAAGAAGCAAACAATCAACAGAATAACTCCCATCGGAGAGGCAGAGTTTCCTCCTCCCTCACTGACCTCTGTGTGACCACCCAGGTGGGCCCTGGGTGCCACTGGCAATCTGCTTTATTGGGTTTTGCTCCGCTCCTGTTTACCTGTTTTATCAAGACAGGGCAGTGTGTCAGTGCCTTGCAGGACATTAATAAAGATAAGAGAAGCCATAGCTACCAAACAGAGTTTTCAAAAACTCTCCCCTGGTTTCCCTGGCTGCAGGGCTGCGTGCACAGACACACAGAGTCACTGATGCAGTGACTATTATTGCCATCCAATTATTGTCATTGTAATGCCTATTCAGCTGCCCTTTTGTAAGTTCCTAGAGGGCAGGGACCGTGTCTCGAACTGCTTTTCATGAATTCATGCCTTCCTGCCTCCATTCAGTCATCCTACACACATTTATTGAGTGCAGCCTTCGCCGGGTCTGCTACCGCTCTGGGAACCCAGAAAATACATAGCATCCTGTGTGTCCCCCACAGCACAGCCCTGCTCTGGCTGCCAGCCCTCATGCACCGTTCCAAGAACGAAGCCCCACATTGGGCCCAGGCTGCATCATCTACAGCAGCCAGAAGGCCAGGAGGCTGCAGGTGACCTCTTCTGTCAACATCTTCATTTCATCCAAACTTCTATAGTATGCCTTTGCTTGTTTCATAATAATTTAAAAAAATAATCTAATAAAGTATACTTTTTAAATCTATGATTTTAAACTTAAAAATCTAGTTGCCTTATCTTTGGCTGTCCTTTGGAGTCACCAGGAGAACATTAAGATGCTGATGCTGGGTCTTACACACAAGTGAGCCTGATTTCATTGGCCTGGCCATTGGGAGTCTTTAAAGCTCCTCAGGTGATTCTAATATGCAACCAGGATGAGAACCATCATCAAACTCAAGGGAGAGGAGGGATGGTTGCAGGATCACAGGCAGGGATTGCTCTGGAATTTGTTTTTTTTTTAAATCTGCCATGTATTTTGGACCCCAAGATCCCTGTCTTGACCCTACACTTCCCATCTGCTCCTCCCATATTCAAGATCTTGCTGTGTTCTGTGGCTTCCTGCCTGCTCTTGCATCAGGATGTCCCCCTGACCTGGGGACTCAGAACACACTCTGGGCCTCTCCGGTTCAGATAAGGCTTCAGGAATCTGGCCCATTATGGGATCATCTACCTGGAAATATGCTCTTTCCCCTGACTTCCCAAAGCCTGGCCATCCCTGGTCTCTGGACTCAGGGCCTCACTCCCTCTGCCTGGAGTTAAGACCTCTTTTTTATTCTCCTTACTATCAGATACACACCTGCCCCTCCTATCCCTACTGCCCCCTGTGGCAATGATATCTTTTAGGAAGAAGGACCCATTGAGGTATCAGAACTTGCAGCATATGGTAGCTTTCAAGAGATGTCAGGAGCATCTGTGGAGGGGCCCACAGATTGTGCCTGACAATTAGCAGAGAGTGCATGCATACCCTTGTCCTTGATGTTCATTCCAAAGGTCCTATAAACAAAGAATGACTCCTGGAATATGCAAATCAAAAGCACAATGAGATACCACTTCACAACCACTGGGCAGGCCATATGTTTTTTTTTAGAAAAAGGAATATAAATGTTGAGGTAGAGGTAAGAAATTGGAACTTGTACATGCTGGTGGGCAAGAAGAAGGGTGTGGCTCCTATGGAAGCAGTTTGGTGGTCCCTCAGAAATTTACTATAGAATTACTATACTACACAGCAATTCCACTCCAAAAGAACTAAAAACAGGGATTCAAACAAACACATGTACACCCATGTCCATAGCAGTATTGTTCACCATAGCCAAGAGGTGGAAGCAATCCAGATGTCAGATGAATGAATATATTCATGAATAAGTTACCTATAATTATTTATCTATAATTGTATTGATGTTTATATATTATAAAAGCTATATGATTGTTTAATAAACAACATATATTGTAATTAAACATATTAATATACCCTGGCCAGTTGGTTAGAGCATTGTCCAGTATGCCAAAGTGCAGTTTGAACCCTGGTCAGGGTATATACAAGAATCTATAATAATAAAAGCATAATATGCTAATTAGACTGGACATCCTTCTGGACAAAGTCAGGGCTGGGGAGACCGAGCCCCTTGCATGATTTTTGTGCATCAGGCCTCCAGTCAACAAATAAAGGCATAAATAAGTGGAACAGAAAATTTGATGTTTCTCTCTCTCTCTACCTCCCTTCCTTCTTCTCTTTCTAAAATCAATCAAATAATTAAAAATTTAAAAAATAAAGTGTATTAATACATCATGAATTTAATATTAGGTTACCTTACAAAACATATTATGTATACAAAAATTGAAAGATGAGATTAAAAATTTGAGGAAATCTCTCTTTCCTCCAGTCTCCAATGAGGCCACCAATCAAGCAGAACACTCCCACATTGGTTTCCCTTTACCTAGAAACTCTGAGAGTTAAAATCTTAAGAGATTTCCCCACCCTATATCTCTGCTTTTCTTCCTGGCTTCACTGAAATTTTAAGTTTAAGGAGAAAATTTGTTGTGCTACTGTGTTAATGGTGACTGTCCTGTTTTCCAATTTTCTTCTGGAAAGACAGCATAGGTATCTGAATGCCTTTATGAGGTATATCTGCTCTAAAGACAAAACTGTGCTAAGGTTGTGCCTGTGAGAATGATAATAATGAAGTAAATGTAACCAAAACTCCTGTGGTAGGATGCAGAAGCAGACACGCACAGGGCCAGGCAAAAGGGATTTTAGGGTTGTTAGTATGGAAAAAGACATGCCATAGGTTATTACAATAGCTTTATTAACTCTGTATTTTATGTGCTCACAACTGTAAACCTATATTCAAAGAACTATAAGCACAGAGCTGTTCTCAACTTTATACTCTTGCATTTTGAGTCCCCCATGCATCTAACCCAGTGTTTGTCTCATCAAATGTAGTCCCTTTGATAGATAAGAATCTCTTGTCTGGAGAGTCCAAGTGAGAGCCAGGGATAGGGCAGCTGGGTGGTGACTGTCGTCCAGGCCTCGGTCTCTGGTCTGCTGGTGTAAGGGCCTGATGGGTGAGTTTCAAGGATGGCTCTGACTTCCAAGGGGATTCCCTCCATTGCCAATGTGAAGGTGTGCCTGGTGGTCATAATTATATGAATATTGTGACATCTGGAAAAAGAAGATGGGAACATTTTACTTCTGAGCAGGGGGAGGCAGAGCAGGAGAAATAAATTCTGAAAAGAAAAATTTGCTTTATCAATATTTTTTTTT